AGCATTATTATTATAATCTCTAGTTGCTTGAGAACTAAGCTTACTGAGATTAGATATTTATTAATTTTATCTATTTGCCCTATATACTTTTCTATTGCTTATTTATCATTAAGCCAACTCCTGGGCTTTTCTTCTTGTCTTTGTTTGAACTTGACCAAAAGCTTCTATAATTCATTTGTTCTTTGGTTATCTATATTTCTTTTTTATTTGAAATGTTTGTTTCGGTAATTTTTAGAATATCTATCATATTATCTAATATCCATTTATGTAAAAAGTCTAATTTGTATGTATTGCTCTTAATACTGTTAATATTATGTGTTGCTATAGTGAGTTCTGTTTTTTTTCCTGTATAGTTGCTATTTGAACTATTTATATTATTTATACTTTCTTTCTAAATCATCAGATACTTGTATATAACTTTCTTGCCCTTTCTGTCTTTTGTGTTCCCTGATTGGCAAAAGATTATCTTTTCATAATTTATCTCCTCCATCTCATCTTCTTGCAAAAAGGGGATAATTCTTTTGCTATTTTCATATGATTTAACTGTTGCTTCTAATTTAAAAGTGTTGAGCAACTCTTGGTTGCTCATTTAAATTTTCGAGCCACTACAAAATTTCTTGTAGAATTGACTATTGCTAGTTAATTCTATTTTCTAAATACAAGACTTTGTCTTCTTTACTTTCTAGTTTGGGTTCATGTATTGGTTTAAAAATTGCTTCTCTGCCTTAGGATCTCTTCATTTTATTTCATCTTTCCCAGAACCAGAGAAATTTTTCTTTTTCTTGAAATGCTTGACGTTTTCTTTATCACTATCTGAAACAAAGTTGATGTTATCTTCTTTCTCATCTTCTGTTAATATTGTATAGTAGTTATCTTTTCTTTTTTGAAAGATCTCTATTTTTTTATCACTGGACTAGTGATTTGAATCAGTTAGGCTATAATCGGTTAACCGACCCGAACCGAATAAATTTTGGGTAACCGGTTAAGGAAGTTCTTAATCGGTTAACCCAGTACAACCGGCTGGCAGGATCTGAAAATATAATGAGAGTAAATGTTCCGAAAAGTTCCAAAAAAATAAATGAACGAACAAAAATTAGAGTAAAGCTCCGAGAATTTCTGAAGGTAGTAGAGTATTAATCTTAACCGGTTGGCAACCGGTTGCATGAAAATTATTTGGTTCGGTTAACCGATTAAAGAAAATTTTCTCGGTTCAAATCACTACACTGGACTCTCTCTTCTCACTTCTATTGGTACCAAACTTTTTTTTTCTATTTGCTGAATTTTTGAATAAAATATCAACTTCTTGCTTGGGTTGTACCTAATGGAGAATCAAACCGTTATATCTAACTGACTTTCTCT